ATAAAACAAGTTTCAACGCTATAGATGCACTGTTTTTTTTTTATTTTTTTTTTATTTATTTCTAAAAATACATAATCAATATATTTTTAACATGAACAACACATCGATAAACCACTAAAGTTTGAATGATGCGTCACAATTCGCCGCACATCATTATTTATCATTGTCACAAAATATTATTTAAAAACAACATTTTAAGTTTATATTTTACATTTTTTTCATTAAGCGAATCTCTAAATTCTGGGTCCATTTTGTTTAAGAGACGAGGTAACAAGTAATCTACAGTGCGTCTTTAATTAATAATAATATAATTAATATTCAAACAGGCTGCGTCGTCAGAATTATACGCACGAAACGTCATTAATAAATAAATCAGTGCATCTATACCGTTGAAACTTGTTTTATTTAATTTTGATAAATATAAAACAGGGTCTACGAAAAAGTTTAAAGTCATCTAATATTTAAAACTGTCTTCAATGCAACTCAAATGTCGCAAATCTAGGAAATCTCACTTTATCACAAACTAGCGGCCCGCCCTCGCTTCGCTTCGGTGTTTAGCTGAAGTGTAGACTACAGTTTTTGTTCTCAAACTTGTATTATACACAATGACATTCATCTATGATTCTTCTTATACCTGCATGCAAAGTCTCAGCCCGATCGGTTTAAAATTGACAAAGTTTCATACAAACTTTCATTCTCTTTTTTATCCCCTTGGGGGTAGAATTGATCAAAATCCTTTCTTAGCGGATGCCTACGTCATAGCATCTACCTGCATGCCAAATTTCAGCCCGATCCGTCCAGTGGTTTGGACTGTGCGTTGATAGATCACTATGTCAGTCAGTCACCTTTGAGTTTTTTATATATAGACTAGCAAACCCGGCGAACTCCGTTTTGCCACCAGATGGCTTCTTTTTATGTAACATTTCGTTTGGTGATTAAAAGAAGATTTTTTTTTATAATTTCCTGAATTTTCTTTGCTATAAACCCCACGGAGCCCGAGACCTTTCCAACGAATGCAAAACCGTGGAAATCGGTTCGTGCGTTCTGGAGTTATAGCGTCAGGAAGGAAAACCCGACTTATTTTTATATAGTAGATAGAAGATAGATACCATAACAATTACCTTCAATGAAAGAATTACGTCAATGCACAAAATAGCCATAGATGTGTTTTTAAAAACCACGGCTTATTGTCCGAGCGGGCACTGTGAGAAACCGTATCCAACTAGGAGCTCTATGTTTGAATCACTCGTCTTGCGTCGAACGCTCGATTTCTACCAAATTTTATTCGACATGATAATTCCGTATTATTGAATCGCTCGAGTGCAACGAATGGGTGAGACCACTCGCTGCATGGCGAATGGTGGAGGCGAAAGATAGAATAATTGTAAATTTTTTTAGACGACGATTTTTTTTTTATGTTATAGGGGGCATACGAGCAGACGGCTCACCTGATGGTAAGTGATCACCGCCGCCCATGGACACTTGCAACACCAGGAGTATCACAAATGCGATGCCGGCCTTTAAGAAAGGAGTACGCTCTTTTTTTGAAGGTTTTTGGGTCGTATCGGTCCGGAAACACTGCTGGCGACAACATATTCCACAGTTTTGTCGTACGTGGTAAAAAATTTCGACAAAAACGCACGGTTGTTAATAGCCACGCATCAAGATGATGGGGATGAACGATAATCTATCATTGTCATGCTTTATATGAGACGACAAAGAGTAGTAGTAATTAGCGGTGTTTATTATTTCTGCGTGAAATGAGTAAAATTTCGTATTTCGTATCAATCAGGTAACACTGGTGACGAGTGATTCAAATATACGGAAAATCAGTATTATGCGACTTGAAAGTCGAAGGTGACTTATGTCACAGTGGTGACACTCTGTGTACGTGAGAGTTCCAGCGGCAGTGACCTTGAGCAGGAGCGTGTATGCGCTAGGGTTGAACTTGGAATTTAGACTTGTGCCAATGAATATTTATGCATAGTAAGTTATTAAATGTAAACTGATTCAAGGAAACTGGGGTAAATAATGAAGGATAGGTTTGATTTTATAATCAATTTTTAATCTTTTAATGTAGGTACTATAACAAATTGCTAGCTTTTATATATTTTCTCCTTTTTCGATTCGTTTTATAATTCTTATTATTATCTAAATAATAATAAGATTGCGTAGCGTAGTCAGTCTGTGCGTGCAATGCAGTGCAACGCTATTATTTTACTATTTCGCTACTGCCATCCCTTCGGTCGAGGCAGTCGGCGACTGCCCTCTCCACGCGCCGCGCAACGCGCCCGCACACCTCCAGACACCCACACATAGCCGCGGGCGATTTTACGAGCACACATGCTTAAGTGTCGCTTCTTTTCGCGTAGTGTATAGATTCTGTGCTTATGTCGCATTCGACGATACTATATCAGACGAGTGATTCAAAAATAGAGCTCCAGTTGCCATACAATCGGTGTGCAATCAGCGTTATGGTGCAGTTTTAATACGAATCGATGTTCTGGAGTGCACAGCACAATGCAAATGGTAATACCCATTGTGAATGTCTACATTTGTTAAGAACTGCCAGGTCTGTTTAATCTCGTGGAGATAGCAGAATCTGTTATACTGTTACTTTGTAGTTCTTTTTTTTAGTGTGTATGCTGTTGGGGTCAGATCACCTTTACAGCGTCATCGGGTTTGGGGACGGCGAGATCCTAAGGGGACCTCAAGCCGAGAATTGGCGCCTCTAGAGGTATTCCAGGCGGATGGCATCTCCCCACGGGGGGAGTCTCCTCTCCGTCTGGAGCCCCTAGACCACTCGAACCTAGGGGGGTGTAGTTCTTGTATAACTTCACCCAATACAGGTACCGATACTTACATAGACAATTAATAATGGAGAAATCAACGATATTAAAAACTTTTATATAAAATACCTTTAAAATATCGCTGGAGACACGTGAGGGTGCAACTTATTGCATACGTCCTACGTATTATTCAATTAAGTACCTAAACCTTAACTTACTTGGATATCACTTAAAAATAATCTTTATTCTAAAGAAAATATAACTAGAAAAAAATCCACGCGGACCAGGCAGCAGACGGGACTCGAACCCGCACCCTTCGCAATCCGGGCGAATGCACTGACCAATTATGCTACCGCGGCCCTCACGGACCGCGTCGAAATTCCTTCTAGCTATTCTTAAGCTGCAAGGCAGCGCCATCTCTTCGCATTATAGGTAAACCCACAATGTCAAATGAATACTTTTACAAGTATTAAACATTTGAAAGAAGAAATAGCAATTATAGTTATAATTTTTATTATTTTTAAAGCATGTAACTGCTTGATGTTTAAATCTAAAGAAAATATAACTAGAAAAAATTCCACGCGGACCAGGCAGCAGACGGGACTCGAACCCGCACCCTTCGCAATCCGGGCGAATGCACTGACCAATTATGCTACCGCGGCCCTCACGGACCGCGTCGAAATTCCTTCTAGCTATTCTTAAGCTGCAAGGCAGCGCCATCTCTTCGCATTATAGGTAAACCCACAATGTCAAATGAATACTTTTACAAGTATTAAACATTTGAAAGAAGAAATAGCAATTATAGTTATAATTTTTATTATTTTTAAAGCATGTAACTGCTTGGTGTTTAAATCTAAAGAAAATAAGAAGAAATAATATAAATCTAAAGAAAAGAAGCTTAAGAATAGCTAGAAGGAATTTCGACGCGGTCCGTGAGGGCCGCGGTAGCATAATTGGTCAGTGCATTCGCCCGGATTGCGAAGGGTGCGGGTTCGAGTCCCGTCTGCTGCCTGGTCCGCGTGGAATTTTTTCTAGTTATATTTTCTTTAGATTTAAACATCAAGCAGTTACATGCTTTAAAAATAATAAAAATTATAACTATAATTGCTATTTCTTCTTTCAAATGTTTAATACTTGTAAAAGTATTCATTTGACATTGTGGGTTTACCTATAATGCGAAGAGATGGCGCTGCCTTGCAGCTTAAGAATAGCTAGAAGGAATTTCGACGCGGTCCGTGAGGGCCGCGGTAGCATAATTGGTCAGTGCATTCGCCCGGATTGCGAAGGGTGCGGGTTCGAGTCCCGTCTGCTGCCTGGTCCGCGTGGAATTTTTTCTAGTTATATTTTCTTTAGATTTAAACATCAAGCAGTTACATGCTTTAAAAATAATAAAAATTATAACTATAATTGCTATTTCTTCTTTCAAATGTTTAATACTTGTAAAAGTATTCATTTGACATTGTGGGTTTACCTATAATGCGAAGAGATGGCGCTGCCTTGCAGCTTAAGAATAGCTAGAAGGAATTTCGACGCGGTCCGTGAGGGCCGCGGTAGCATAATTGGTCAGTGCATTCGCCCGGATTGCGAAGGGTGCGGGTTCGAGTCCCGTCCGTCTGCTGCCTGGTCCGCGTGGAATTTTTTCTAGTTATATTTTCTTTAGATTTAAACATCAAGCAGTTACATGCTTTAAAAATAATAAAAATTATAACTATAATCTTTATTGTCATAGAGTATTTGACAGTATTAAAAATAAAGTGCCAATTGTTAGCATCCGCGTTTAGGATTAATTTTGGCAGGGGTTTTTACTATTTTTACAAAAAAAATATTCATAATTTTACTAAAAACCCACGGAAAAGATAGAATAGTTTTCTTATCTATTGTCACGTGACCCAAAACGATTAGGATTGGCGGAGCCTAGAATGACGTCAGACGCAAGTAAACTTCCGGTTAAATTGACATTACATTGTATCGTTTGACGTTTCACTAACAGTCGTGTGACGTCACACACTAGTAAGACGCCATATTGTCCAGAGAAACGTTTTCGCGACAAATTGAAAATGGAGTTTTTGATTTGGTTATTTTTACTGAAATACACAACAGAATGATGAAGGACTCCGGACGGACTCCATAAACATTTGTCAATAACGTGAGATCGTTTTCTAAAACTTGTCAAATACCCTATTTCTCTATTTAAAAAATAAAGGGCCCCTTCTTAATTTATTCCTTCAACATTAACTTTCACAGCTCCAACTGTTTTCATAAATATAAATTTAATAATGGAAGAAGCATTAATAAATAAAACAAAATGATTCTTCATTTTAAGTTTGTTTATTTCTCATTAACCGACTAGAAGGGGAGAACTCTTTGAACTATATAAAACAAACTGAAGGCGAATAATTCAATCATAAAGCAAAAAAGTGTGGTCCTTTTTTATTAAATCATAAAGCAACAATTTTTTTTTAATAAATAAGGTTTTTTGGCGACGGAACATTGGTTATTTAAAAAAAAGAAGTCTTTGGTTCATAAACAATAAATATTGACTCTTCTTTTACGTGAGTTATTTTACAAAATATATTCATTGTTATTTAACATCATACAAAAATACATAAGTACCTAATGAGATACCTGTCTGCTTGTAGTTTATAAATATTACTCATAAACCACAATAACAATACCTATTTTTTTACTTATTGATAAGCATAAAATTTTGTATAATTTTCATTCTAATATTTACAATTTCGTTAAAAAACTAATTAAAAGCTAAATGTATTCTAAATGTTACGTCATTGGTACATTTAACATTATTAGTATTAAAGCTATAGAAATAATAACTTTAGAACTTCTTATCGAAGTACCTGAAAAAAAAAGAAAATGTCTAATTAACATTATGCTGTTTATAATTTAAAAAAAAAAGCTTTCTATGATTCTGTATTAATATCAAAATGTCAAATGCGCATTTGAGATTTTTGTTGACTTATCAATTTGGAACCCCGTACACTGAAGTGAGCAAGTGAAATTGCCTGCGATCAACAATTCTATAGATAACGGGTAAGATTCAAAATCAAAGCTAAATACTGTCCGCGTATATTTAAACTTATGTAGTTACATTCGATTCCTAATGAACAAAGATTGAATGAAATGTTTTAAAACAGTTTAAGTTGAACCCAATAACAACTATCCCACAAATGAATAAGGTTACAAATAACATAATGAAAGGAGATTGCTCAAATTGGCCCAAATGCACAAAAAATATTGACATACACGGTAATTCTCGCCATAATTTATAATTTAATTTACAATCATTAGATTTCAACGGATACCTTTGTATAATATATTTACTTTAAAAAGGACTTTTAATTTTACCGGTTTGGAAGACATACGAATCATTTTTAATGGCTATGGGTGTAGTAACATTCAGCCAAAGACTGATCAAAGTTGTTTATATAACATAAAAACAAATCTATTTTGTAAAGATCGATAAAATATTTTTTTTTATTACACTGTGGTATTAATATCCACAACTATATTATCATTTTCACTACATGCAAATGTGCTCAGACAATTATTATAGATGTTAGGCGACATCATAAAGTCTATTGCCATACATTTTTTGCCAAACACCTCCATAAACACATATACCTCCATAAATACATATAATCTGTATTTATGTTAGACTTTAAGGTATCTATCTATAGGCCAACGTTGCCTGACTAAAAATTAATAAATAAATAAAATTATAAGGTGTGATACACACTAAAAATCTAAAATATGGTGATATTAAAAACATAACAAAAATAATGAAGCTACTGAATATATGGCTATATAACCTAAATCTCTTAGCTTTCTTTGGTTAACGAGAGTTTAAAAATTCTCTCTAATCTGTGGCTCATTCACAATCATCACACAGTTTCTGTCACAGAGTACCTTATTATAACCGGAAATGCATAGATGACACCTGATTTTAAAAGTTACTCATTTGCATTAACTTTAAAAACAGGCAACTATATGTTAATCTACATGCTCTATATACCTGAATCTAATCCATAATTTCGGTACTTGGCTTAATTTCCTTAGTTTACTATATAACTTATTTGTTTTTTATTATTTTAATATATTCAGTGTATATGGTTTATAGAAGTTCTCAGGGGTGTCCGTTAATAATATTCGTTTCTACAGTAATTTATATATAATTTTGAATCTAGGTAACAATTTTTCATGATTATTGGTTTTTAGGCCAAACATGTATGGAAGCTGAGCAATCTCCTTTTGCAGATACGACCTTTTATCTTGTAAAACGAAGTCTTGTTCCTTTTATAAATTATATCTGATACTTGGAGAAAAACGAAGGTGAAATAAGGAAAATGTGGAATCAACCTTATGACCCACAAAATAAAATATTTTTACCAATCATTGGCCAGCGAGTTACTTCGTCTTGTATTAACCCAACTAATTGAAAATAAGGCGCACGCCTCAGGTGAGACTATATTTACCGAGACGGATTTTACGCGCGGACCCGTTCTCTCTATAGAATTTTTAATCGAAGGAAATTACTGAAAGTTTTCAATAATGATTTCAGAATTTTGATTTACTATGATATACAATAGAATAGATATAGAATAGGTCTGCCAAAGTAATAATCTACAAGAAAATCCCCACGGGAATAAAATGTTTCGCAGATTTTAAATACTAATATTATAAATGCGAAAGAGAGTCTGCGTGTCTCTAAAGCTATCTTTTCAGGCTTAAATCGCTGAACTGATTTACAAGAAATTTGATATTGATAAAGTTTGAGATCTGGGGTGGTTTCTGAGATAAAAAAACTATTATATGTTCTACTATATTATGTGCGAATTCAATTTTTTCACGCAGACGAAGTCGCAGGCACCCTCTAGTCAGTTAAATTTGTCGGAATATATTATTCAAATCATAATTCATACGACTAATGTCAATCTGAATTTCACGACAGGTTTAAATTGGCACTGTGATGAGTTTTAAATAATTTACAGTGGCACTCAAATATGTCACAGAAACCATTTAGTTTGATTAAATTTGATGATATTACTCTCTTTACGAAAAAGACAAATCACTTAAGTAAACATTACATTTATTTAACCTCTGACGTCTGTGACTCACCAACATTCATAATTATCAGCCTTTTAATGTCTCCACTGCTGGGGCACAGACCTTCCCTATGGATGGAATAGGGAGTTTGGGCCATGACCCACCACGCGGGCCCAGTGCGAATTGGTGGGTGCTAACGACTGCAGACGCAGCCGGGACCAACGGCTTAACGTGCCTTCCGAAGCTTAAGATAGTCAATTTATGGTCACCCATCCAATGACCGACCACTGCGAAAGTTGCTTAACTTCAATGATCGCAGCCGAATGCGCTAACCACTTGCGCCATCGAGCTCCACGTCTGAGATGACATCTGTGACTGCGACGTTTAATTTACTATTTAAATTATTTACCACTATCTGGCTCCTGGACATGCGCTGAATTTGGTGACTCGGGTGTAGTTGCAGGAGGATCTACGAAAAAAAAAACATATCGTATAAGTTATAGCTATTAACGGGATTGTTACCATGTACATTGTTTTTTATGAGTTATATTTCGGCACTGTGGCAAGCGCCATGATCACGGAGTAACTGAAGTAATTCCGCGATCTGATACTGTGAGTATTGTGTGCGAGTGAATAGTGAGAATGTGACCAGTGGTAGGGGCATCGAGCGCAGTAAAAGACGACGACAGAGGGTAGACCGATATGTCTGCCAATAACGTCTACCCGCAATTACTTCAGTTACTCCGTGATCATGGCGCTTGCAACAGTGCTGAAATATCGGAGTTTAAAAAAACAAGGTACATGGAAACAATCCTGTTAATAGCTATAATGTTAGTGGCCATGAAAGTTTAAAACAATATGTCGTATAAGGTATCATTACGTCAAGTAATACATTTCTAGGAATGTTCTTCGTTAGATGATATGGTTCCCACACTTAGTCCTTAAGTGGACCATTACACGTGACCCATAGCGGCCGATAACTCCTACCAGCCCACTTCCCTCCAGAAGCAGACCAGTCATCTCAGGGCATCCGTGAGGCACTCCGATATACCGAGAGTCTCTGCGGATCTAGGCGACATTTTAAGAAATTTCTTTAATAGTAATTCGTGATAATCATTTTAATTGCGCCGTAAAATCTATATATATAAAACTCAAAGGTGACTGACTGACTGACATAGTGATCTATCAACGCTCAGCCCAAACCACTGGACGGATCGGGCTGAAATTTGGCATACAGGTAGATGTTATGACGTAGGCATCCGCTAAGAAAGGATTTTGATCAATTCTACCCCCAAGGGGATAAAATAGGGAATGAAAGTTTGTATGAAACTTTGTCAATTTTAAACCGATCGGGCTGAGACATTGCATGCAGGTATAAGAAGAATCATAGATGAATATCATTGTGTATAATACAAGCCTGAGAACAAAAACTGTAGTCTACACTTCAGCTCTACACCGAAGCGAAGCGAGGGCCGCTAGTTGATGTATATAGTTGCAAGTTTGTTGCTACACCCAAACGGTGTCATGTACCACACACTATTAACTATGTAAGACCTTATAATGTACATGAGCAATGTGGAATAAATAAATAAAATAAATAAATAATGTCCGTGTTGCCGGGGCTGTAATTTCATAATTAATGTTATTACTTCTGATATAAACGTACAGCATAATGCGGTTGTTGATATTTGTTCGTAATTCAATCATATTAAATCCGATGAACGGTGTAATTTTACAAATGCAGAGAATTTTCCAGTGCATCTAATACGGTACACGTGGGCTGGTTCCATCAAGTTTGAGTACTAGTAATGGGGTATCGAGACTACTGTTGATAAGGGGACTCTATTGTCCTGGACCCGTAAAATTAGTACCTAACTAGCAAACCAGTGAACCAAATGTTCACCAAAACCTGATTTTAAAAAAAATGTATTTAATTAATTGAGAACTTCGGAGATTTTGTGTGGTTTCGTTTGAAATTAGTGATTTCTCGAAAACCGGAAATGCTACGTTACTCAAATCCGGTTTGTAGTCTTATCAGACTATTCTTAACTTATAACTTAAATATTCTCTTTATCTATCTCTTACGGTTTGGCCGCTGAAACAGCACCACGGACAAACGGACTCGTCTAATAGATAAGAGATGATCTTTGAACACTGGGTATGAACTAATCTAAATGATAACAGCTCTTTTAGTCTTATATATAAAATTCTCGTGTCACAATGTTAGTTACCGTACTCCTCCGAAACGGCCTGACCGATTCTTATGAAATTTTATATACATATTGCGTGGGTCTGAGAATCGGCTACTATCTATTTTTCATATCCTTAAGTGGTAATCGTTGTTTACCTGTAACGTAGTATTCTGAAAACTACATCCGCGCCAAAATTCAAACTATTGGGTATTGTAACGTAGTGTTCTCATATGGATTAGGAGGAATGTTACGCAACCATAAATTTGTATTTGGACATTTTTTTTTGTTTTTATAATGTGGTATTAAAAAATACGTACAACCCTAAATTTTCACTTCTACCATTTGCTCCTATTTTTATGGCATTACGAAGTTCGCTGGGTCAGCTATTATGTCATATAAAAGGATGCCAAACTCAATGACACTGTAAAGCTGGAATTAGACGGTTTATTTTTGTTAAAATATCCGATGCTTCATCAGTAAAAAACCGAATATGAAATGCCTAAAATTGACGTCCATCGGAATTTACCTTCACGATGAAAGCTTCCGGCTCCCGATTGTTTTCACTAGCATCGACCATGCATCTGTCATCATTCATCGGCAATGAACAACAAGTGAAACGTCTAAACAGCGACAGGTAATACACAGTTCATTCCTTTTGCTGTATTAATTCTTTAATTAAATATTTGTTTCTTAGGTTTTCACGCACATCACTCATTAAATAAAACTAGTTTTTACGGGTTAATGCACGAAACTTTATTTATTTATTGCAGTGTTTCGAAGGTAGCTCGACAATTTTAAATAAAATCATTATTCTGACGATGCAGACCTGAAAAGGCTGCGAAACGTCAATAAATAAATAAAGTTTCGTGCATTAACCCGTAAAAACTAGTTTTATTTCTTTAATTAAATACCGTTCCCTTTCAAACAAGTAAGTGTGCGAGAGATGAAGCGATGGAGGGGTCCATAGATTGTAAAGTTATTGACTGAGGTTGTCAATAAAACCAAAATAACTCATTGAGTAGGCGTCACTTTGAAAATCGGCGTACATACCACTCAAGCCATGGAGGTTGTCGAAGAATAAAATTATCTTTGTAAATTAAATTTACCTACCTTTCTGTCTCAAATCTGTGTACGGAGGTCGTTGAAGAATAAAATTACTTCTGTAAAATTGTAAATATCTTTCTGTCTCAAATCTGTGTACAAAGGTCGTAGAAGAATAAAGTTACCTCTGTAATATCAAGTTACCTATGTTTCTGTCTCAAATCTCTGTACGTAGGTCGTCGAAGAATGAAATTACTTCTGTAAAATTGTAACTATCTTTCTGTCTCAAATCTGTGTACAAAGGTCGTAGAAGAATAAAGTTACCTTTGTAAAACCATGTCACCTATCTTTCTGACTCAAATCTCTGTACGAAGGTCGTCGAAGAATAAAGTTACCTCTGTAAAATCAAGTTAACTATCTTTCTGTCTCAAATCTGTGTACGGAGGTCGTCGAAGAATAAAGTTACCTCTGTAAACCAGGTTACCTATGTTTTTGTCTCTTATCTCTGTACGGAGGTCGTCGAAGAATGAAGTTACCTCTGTAAAATCAAGTTCTTATCTTTCTTTCTTTGCGTCTGGACTCCATCGGCACTTCACATCAGGTGGGGTGGATTTTTTCTGATCTATATTATAAAAATTTACATACCCCTGTAAAATATATCCCGTTTTCTGCTGTAGTAGTTGGCCTGTGGCACCTGCATGTCGCACAGGATCTCCACCGTCGGGGGAAGGGCATCCATCTTCACCACTGCGCTGGTCAACGCCACGTAGCGGTCGTTAATGATCTTCAACGAAGACTTCGCATTTAAAGGCCTGAAAATTATATCCTGCTAGAGTAAAAAAATCAACTCTTAATTCAAACTATAGGAGAAAACCACCAAAACTGTAACTTTGCAATACTTAAATGTAAAGAATATTTTACTAGATAAAAATCCACGCGGATTAGGTAGCAGACGTGACTCGAAACCGTACCCTTCGCTATCCGGGCGAATGCACTGACCATTATTATACCACCGCGGCCCTGATGGCCGTGTGAATTTTCTCTAGAATTTCATCTTTATATATATAATTCTTCTGTGAGTGTGTATGTCACTGAACTTCTCTTAAACGACTGGACCGATTTTGATGAAATTTTTTGTGTGTGTTCAAGGGGATCTGAGAATGGTTTAGATTCACAATTTCGTCCGCTGGACAACCCCTATTTTTTTAGGGCGGTACGAAGTTCGCTGGGTCAGCTAGTATAATATAAATAAATATAAATATTTCCAACACTCACACCAATTAGCGTAGCCCCAAAGTAAGCACTGTAAGGCTTGTGTTATGGGATATACTAGGGTAACGGATAGAATTCATATACTTTACATTTATAAGTTTATTTATATAGAAATAAATATGAAACATCTATTCCTGGAGTGCAAATGCTTGTATTCATCACACAAACATCTGCCCCCACCGGGATTCGAACCTGGGACCTCACGAGTCGGCAACACCATGAAACCCGGCGTACAAACCACTCGGCCACGTAGGTCGTCAATTTTATAGGCTGCACGGCAGCACCATTTTTTCGCATTGTAGGTAACCCACAATGTCAAATGAACACCTTTACAAGTATTAAACATTTGAAAGAAGAAATAGCAATTATAGAGAAAACTATATATTTATAATACTTTATAATCTTTACTTTTCGAAATGAAATAAAAACATTTCTGAAACTGTCTCTCCCAATTTATTTATTACTTAACGAATTAAATGGATGAAGTAACAATATAACATGCTACACGAATGCGATATGGGAGCTTGTATATTATTAATTGAGATTGTATATTATCAAGCCCGCAAATGAATCTATTGAACTGTAGATCAAGCTTTTAAAGAGGGATTTGTAACAAGGAGATAATTTATTGTTATATTTTTATTTTGAAGCATTTATCTGCTACATGTTTAAATTAAAAGAAAATTTTACTACAAAAAATTTCACGCCGACCAGGCAGCAGACGAGACCAGGTCCACGTGGATTTTTTTCTACTAAAATTTCTTTAGATTTAAACATCTAGCAGTTAAATGCTTAAATATCAATATACAATTACTCGATTTTTTTCTAAAGATAGATCCGACAAATGACTCCTCAGAGATCAGGTGGGGATGTTAAGTGAAGGTGAAGTCCAGACGCGAAGATAGCTGATACAGCAGTTCTACCTGCCACACCAGCCATCCTCACCCTGCAGGCCTGGATGTTGCTTCTTCACGCCTCTTTTAAAGGATTCCAGGTTGTAAGAGAGATTAATTAATGAAATGCTATGAGCTATCTGGAATTTAATATTGTGACACATGTAGATACATAACAAAAAGATAAACATCCATCAATAGGTAAAAACGAAAACGATATTGCATTTAAGGAACTTAGAGAACAAGTTGTCAGTTGTACTGGAGGAGTATCGATATTTCATACAATAAATTCATTACCAATACCTACTTGGAAATGCGTCGCTACGAAACTTAGTCCATTGTTTAATGTTATTGTACCTGAAAATGTCTTAGTTATCAAACTTCCGGGAACTATGCCAATTATTCAGACTGAAGTAGTTGATAGGGCGTACACGTAATCATAAATTGCCGAGAATTAGAGTTATATAAATACAAATTACTGTTTACGAGAATTTGTACTTAACAACCAGCGTCTATTAAGAGTGAATTAATTTATATCGTTAACTATTTTCGCTGTAATTAGAACCCTTAGCACCAACCAATATTGAATTCGAATAATTTGCGAGTGCGACAAATGTCCATGTCAAAGGAGATTGGTCAAATTGGCCTAAATGCAAATAAAATATTGACATATACAGTAATTCTTGGCGTAATTTATACTTTATTTTACAGTCATTAGATTTTAACGGCCACCTTTAAATAATATATTAATTTTAAAAAAGGACTTCTGTTTTTACCGGTTTGGAAAACATACGAATCATTTTTATTGGCTATGGGTGTAGTAACATTCACAAAGACTGATCGAGGTTGTTTATATAACATCAAAACAAATCTATTTTGTAAAGATTGATAAAATATATTTTTTTTTATTACACGGGTGGTATTAATATCCACAACTTTATTATCATTTTTACTACATGCAAATGTGCTAAGACAATTAATATAGATGGTAGGCGACATCATAAAGTCTATTGCCGTACATTTTTTGCCAAACACCTAAATAAACACATTATAAGGTGTGATACACTAAAAATCTAAAATATGGTTATAATAAAAAAATAACAAAAATAATGAAGCTGCTGAAGATATGGCTGTATAACCTACAGCTCTTAGCTTTCTTTGATTAACGAGAGTTTAAAAATTCTCTCTAATCTGTGGCTCATTCACAATCATCACACAGTTTCTGTTCGTGTTTTTAAAAACATGCACATATCTGTTATTTTACATGCTCTATATACCTGAATCTAATACATAATATCGGTAGGTACTTGGCTGGATTGCCCTATTTTCCTATATAAGTTATTAGGTTTTTATTATTCTAATACCTTTGTGCCTATTTGCAAACATAACCTCAAAATCATTCAGTGCATATGGTTTATAGAAGTTCTCAGGAGTGGCCGTCGATAATATTCTTTTCTACGGTAATTTATATATAATTTCGAATGTAGGAAACAATTTTTCATGGTTATTGGTTTTTAGGCCAAACATGTATGGAAGCTGAGCAATCTCCTTTTGTATGGTAGCTTGAACAGCTACGCCAAAACGGACTGAGCAGGTTTAAGTTAAGTTTCACTATTTCTTAAATAAGACATGACATATTGTTTTAAACTTTCATGGTCACTAACATTATAGATATTAGCGGGATTATTGCCATGTACTTTTTTTTTGGGGGGGAAGGGGGAAAACAGTGTTAAACATCTTGCTGGCCCCAATTGTCATCCTCACCTACTCGTGGTCCTCCCTGTTAGATAACGAACGAGGCTCTGGCGACCGAGCAATGGCGGTATAACCACACACCCAACTGGGCAACTAGCTGGAAGAGGTCTCAGCGGCCTCGGGGTCTAAATCATCCCAAAAAAATTCTGGTACGGAAAGCAATGGGAAACTACCGTTACAAATATCCCTTGTAAACAACATGAGGCACTTAAAGAGGAATGGTTTGTCATGCCACCCGGCTGACCCCCGGCGCCATGGTGGTTCCGGGCCCCATGGTGTGAAATTGGCTACCGGCTGCAAGACGTTGAAGCAGCAGGCTACTTGCAGAAACTGGACTACTGTTGCGGAAATTAACGAGCAAACCATTAAAAAACATGAAACTCTCATGACAGGCACATGGAACGTGCGGGGCCTAAACAAGGCGGGTAAAATGGAAACAGTGGAGAGGGAGATGGTCCGATGTGGGCTAGAAGTATTAGGTCTAAGCGAAACGCACCTAAAAGAAAGTGGTCACTATTACTCAAATACGACTAAGGACACCAAAGCGCAACGTACCCAAAAAGATATATTGTGGCGTTCTGTAGAGATCATTTGTGGATTATGGAGCTCAATCCAGTGATTAGGACCCGAATCTATTAAATGTTCCGCGATGGCTGATTTTTGCGTATCATTATTTCTGACTGCTTTTATTGTGTTTGGGTGGAAACTTTCCCTTGTATCCATTAGTCTGTAAGAACCGCCGTACATGCTCCAATTCATCGTGCAGTTGTTCCTTGTTACACAAGTCATTTGCACGGTTCGTCAGTGAAGTGACTACAGAATTTAGATGTTTATTATGATAATGGTCTCTGTGTGTAGGTTTGCGGTGAATGGAATGACTCAGTGAACCGTCATTCCGCACGATTCCGTCAACGAAAATATCGGAGACTCATAAAAAACAAGGTACATGGTAACAATCCCATTAATATCTATAAGTCATGACAGTTAAAGTTAGAGTAAAAGTTGCTACAGCTCACGAATAAAAATTTTGAAGCTAAGCTGTGGGCACAATTAATGTTCACTTAGTATTAGCTGTGGACATTAAAAAGGTTAATATAAGAGTATACTTCCAAACACATATATTGGCAAAAATACACGTTAATAGTTCAACAATAATTTTTAAAGCACACGAAAAGATTATTGAAAGAGTTCATGATCAGCTTCGAAACTCCGCAAGTAATAAAATTTTGCTTACTGTAACATATATTTTAAACTAGGGACCGTCAGAACATTATATGATAGTGGACCGATAGATTTGTCCGGTAGTTTGTAAGTATTTATCTACAGCCATGCTTCAAAACCTCTATTATAGATTTTGAAACAGTTAAGTTTATAGCCAACATTAAAAAATGTAATGTAATAACTAAAAAAAATATTATAACACCCAAATGGGTATTATAATGTTGAACTAAATTTCAAAATACACTCCTTTGCATTTCAAATTCCTTCCGCGTCAAGGGCTTTCTAATTAGACAGCCAAAATTGTCACTGCTCGATGCATGGTATTATGAATTTCAAAAAAAGAACATGCGCATTCAGGGAATAGAAACTTTTCATAAATTTTAAATTCTTGAAACGCTCATAGTTTCAGAATCTTTTATAGAGGATTCATATCATGGGTGTAGATTAAGTATAAGACTTTCTGCGCCTCGTGTGTTAAGCCCAAATTCGTGTTTTAATACCCCTCATTATACAACAGTTGCATAATATCTATTATAATATCGATATTAATTTCTATAAAGTTATTATTATGTAAGATCAAAAAATTAACACAGCTATATTAAATACTTGATATATTTAATAATATGAGGCAAGTTGCCTCGGTCAAGTTTAATTCTGAAAAACTAAAAGTGGCTTCTTACGTGAAAAAGGAATGCCTTAACAATGAGTGGCATACAACTGTAAATTTTAATTGAAACCACTAATAACTAGTTTTTTTTTTCATTAAAAACAAAAGGCTATCCTATAACTTTATCCAACATTAGTTATGCAAAAGACGTCCGTGTGTTTCGCTATCGAAGTGTACGTCGAAGATAGCGCTGAATATTGTAATTCTGAGCTCGAGTCGGAACAAGCCTGCTTTGTATATCCTGCTAACAATCGATTATCTATCCTGTGTATATTTCTGTAATGATTTCCGTTCGCAACTTCCGGGTTCCTCTAGCAGCTTTATAGATGCATAAAATATTTTCCTTTGCAATATAAAAAGTATTAATTTTAGTTTCTGTTTAGTTTTTAAAATCGAACAGCGTATACTTTTCGAATGAAATGTTAAATTATCGACAATTGACGCGTGGGTTTCCCAGCACTGGTTATCCAATTCGGCATAACACCGTAACTCAAGTTGTACGTCACATTTAACATGAATCACTACACTCAAGCTATGTCAAACGGCACGACGTACCTACAAGGGAATGGTCTAGCTTAACTACACAGATTTATCTGTATAGTAATTGCATATCAAATCCAATATTACGTATTTTCTGGAATCAGAATACTAGCTTATTACGTCATTAGTATTTATGTAGTTAAAATTGATGATTTGAATTTATGGCCGGATCGGGAAGCGTCACTTTAGCAGTTTTGTTTTTCTTCTTAAAAATTGTGTTGTGGCGGATGTTAGTGTCTAATAATGGTGGATTATTAACCACTAAGTGTTCGGGAACATGCACAAGTGTTGGCAAGTGAAACAAAATAGCGGAAAGTGTCTTTCGACGTTCTCTCAAGGAGTTCACGGGGAGGTTCCAGTAAATCCCCACACATTTACTGAAACATATGGAAAGGGGGTTTGACTTGACTGCCACTTACGTTGACTTGATTTATTACTTTGACCACGAGTGCTATTGATTTTGTAAACATTTTAACACTTGATATTAGTTAAATGCACAAGCCGTGTGAAGCCATTTAGAAAAAATATGATTGAACATTAATTTAGGTTAATATTCGTAGAATGCCACACACCGTTGAAAATGCATTTATCTAGACTGGCCTCAAAAGCTTCTTACGAAAACAAAATAATGAAACCATTTTCTTTTTTGACGTTCTATAATTCAGGTGCTGCTATAGTTATTTATGATACTAGAGCGGTAAGTTGGTTATTACAAACGAGTAGACGAAGGTAAGCCCGAGACAAAATCGAGGACTTTCAAAGTCACGTGTTTATAAACACCAATTCTGCACTAATGTCCTACAACGTTTTTGAACACACTTGCGATTTTTGAAGTTATACTTCTTTAGGCGCGTTATGAAAAAATGATGAGAGTGAAATTTTAAGATGCGCGCGCATCACTGTAACACAAAATTTTAACAGCATGAAGTTGGTCGCTTTAGCGACCTACCAACAAAATCTACCAACAAAATAGAAATAGAATCTCTATTTAGTGGGTGCTAACGACTGCATTGTGAAGGCCTATCAAAAGTATTTATTAATCTGGAACAACGGAACCAAAGCGCGATTCAGGAGACTACAGCGCCATCTCTTGACCATTGGTGTAGTAGAACCAAAAACCACATCTTTATTTTTTGTAATAATGTAACAGTTATAGGTATTCATATTTATAATATTTATCCACATGTTTCTAGTTTGTATATTCGGAATACGTGTTTGAGTTTCATACAAGTGCAAATCACATATGTTCTAATAAATTATATTCAGTAGCGATTTTAATTGAATATTTTGATTATTTATTTATTTTTTCAAATTAAAACTGAACTTTATTGACTGTGTCCTTTTCCAGACTTTTTACTAATTTATTGTAATTAATTATTTGCATGCAATTAAAAACTAATTTTAAACGATGCCAAAGAAGGATAACTTCTCACGCGCCTACATAAGTACACGCACCCATTTTTTTTTGTAATTATTTTCTGTTTGTCGCATATTACCTTTAAAGCGTCACCGGGCTTGGGGACGGCGAGGTCCTATGTGGACCTCAAGCCGAGAATTGGCGAGTGTCTCTAGAGGTATTCTAGGCGGATGGCGTCACCCCACGGGGGGAGTCTCCTCTCCGTCTGAAGCCTCTAGACCAATCGGACCTGAAGGGGTCGGCTCAACTAGACGGTATTTGAGGCCCGTATTATAGAAAGATTTTCAGTAATTAATCTAGTCTTGAGCATAGATAGAAAGGGATGTCGCTGTATATAGCACATAGCGACATTCCTTTCTAACTGTACTAAAGCAAATATCAACACTTAGTTGTCATTCTGTAATACAAGCCTGAGACTCGGAGCTCGACTCTAGTTAGCCGTTGTCGTGGGAAGCGGGGAAACGCGCTATAACGAGTATAGTGCGTAGTGTTTAGACCGGGTCTTCCCACTCTTATCCCACGGGTGCGGTGTCTGCCTAATGCGAGGCTAGTGTGCAAGTTTGCTGGCTGTGTAGTGTAGGTGTTTGTCGCCTGTGTGGGAGGAGTCGGAGGCGCATTGGCGCGTGTGATTACGTCGTTGGTGTACTCTAAGACGTGCTTTGGCCGACGGAATCGGATGGACCTACCAGGATGGCAGGCCGAACGTGTGATAATTGGCTGCTTTAACTACTAGAGTAACATCTCGAGGCGTCTTTCATGTACTTCGAGTTGGAATCTAATTTAAGATCGTGATGCAAACCGATTTTACGCATGTACCACGGGCAGCCTATGACACCGCACAATTTTGCAGCGTTTGTAAGGGTTTGAGATGCGACAGTGGAACGTGGGCAAAGCAAACTCTCGTAGCTCATGCTAATGCTGCAAGTTTTGTATTTACACTAAAATGTCACTTAGACATAAGTTGACAATTTTGTCAACTTATGTCTAAGTGACATTTTAATCTGCTTCCCTATGAGGTAGAATAGCCAACCGCCAATGAAAGCTGCTCCATCGCGAGCTATCTTGAGATGAGGTGCAATCGTTAATCGGTTGTCTAATATGCCTCCCAATCTTAGATTAAAAAAAAAGGGTAGATACGGCACTAGCCTCACAAAAGTGATCCGCATAAATCGTGGTCCACGACCCTAATCGCTCCCCCTCTCGGGGTATGATCGCATCAGATGAAGCTTGTAAGGCCCTTCTGGCCATAAGCATGATTAAAGGGTGTTTTTTTAGTCAGTAAGAGTCTGACATAACCCTACAGCCGGCTGTAGGGTATCCATGAGGATTTCTCACCCTCTCCTCCGCCTGAGAGGACACAAAAAAAAAGACCTAATCGCTTTAGTCACAACTTGACATGCAAACGACTCACATGTGAATGCCAAAAAGAAATATTGCTAATATTTTGTGTTTATATGATAAAACAATGCCTAAGTGTGTTTTTAAAAAGTGCTCAAATTGCTCAAGAACTAAAAATAAAACCCACGGCATCATTTTTCATTCGTAAGTACTATAAAATATTTTTTTCATAAAAATTGCTGTTTGTTTTGAATCTTATTCGGTAGTGACGTCGAGTACTGGTCGCGTGATTGGTCGGTAGTGCAGTGACGCGGATCTCGCCGTCTCGTTCGCGCTGCCGTTGAAACGTGCTGTTTCGTTCGGGTCGGTAATGCAGTGACGTGGATCTCGCTATCCCGTTCGCGCTGCCATGGGATCAGTTTTTGTTTGATGCAAGTATGAGCGTACCGTGTCTACCCTTTTTGTTTTAATCTAAGCTCCCAATCAATGGACCCGGTCTTCCCAGGGGATGACCTGGTCAAAATTGAATGCTCGGAAGAGAGCGCGTGGGAGGGGAATTTGACGAAAACTCACTTTAACGACTGTTCAAATACTTCAAATAAAAAAAAAAATTCTATTATTCGCAACAGCGGGAACACGGGAATACGGCGGGATCGAAGCGCAGACGTGTCAGCATTTCGAAATTGGAACGCGCGGAAAGAAAAAAATATTAAAACTAAAAATTAACAAGACGGTCAGTCAATCGTTTGCAATGTAGTTTCACGTAATAATAATATAATGACGTCGTAAAACTCATGTAGAAAATAATAATTATAACTATGTTTCAGTTCAATCGTTCTATGTGAAATAATGCCTGAAAATAGAGTCGATCGTTTGCAATAGTTTTGTGGCGGCGACATCTATATGCCCCACATATATACAACGGATGGAGGAAATCATTACTCACCATCCTCAAGAGATGGCGTTACCTGCACTGCGATCATAAAAGTATGGAAGCCTACATCGTGCAAATGAAATTCGAAGGGTAACTCTTCATATATACGATGCCCGAAGAACATCAGTCGGGCCGCGGCCCCCGAGCTACCATCACCCAGCTCGGAGAAAGATCTTCCCCTTTGGCCTTCCTACAGTTTCTTACAGTAAAAATTCTAGGCTTTCCTATCTTTTATCAATTTTATAAACAAAAACGTCTACAGCGCAGGTTTATTTCGCCTGTGGTTTAATTCGATAGCCGCTACCTTTATTAACACAAAACTAATTTTAGAAAATCGCATTCAAGAATAGAAGTTGTTAGGATTAAAACAGCTAGAAAAACATCGCAACTCACCTATTTCCAGCTAATATGACCAATTCAGGCTTCGGATATACACCTTCAACTGAGCAAATGATATTCAGGTATCCATCGCCCAGTCTATCCAATATCATGTCGAATTTCTTCTCTGGGTCTGTAAATAAATAACATTATTAAATAAACACTAGCAAACCAGTGAACCAAATTTTCACCAAAACCTGATTTAAAAAAAAATGTATTTAATTAATTGAGAACTTCGGAGATTTTGTGTGGTTTCGTTTGAAATTCGTGATTTCTCGAAAACCGGAAGTGCTACGTTACTCAAATCCGGTTTGTAGTCTTATCAGACTATTCTTAACTTATAACTTAAACATTCTCTTTATCTATCTCTTACGGTTTGGCCGCTGAAACAGCACCACAGACAGACGGACGGACGGACTTGTCTAATAGATAAGAGATAATTTTTATTTTTTAAGCTTGTAACTGCTCGATGTTTGAATCTAAAGAAAAGATTACTAGAAAAAATTCCACGCGAACCAGGCAGACCAGCATTTACATGCTTAAAAAATAAAAATTATAACTATAATTGCTATTTCTTCTTTCAAATGTTTAATACTTGTAAAGGTATTCATTTGACATTGTGGGTTACCTACAATGCGAAGAGATGGCGCTGCCTTGCAGCTTAAGAAAGGCTAGGAAGAATTCGACACGGCCATCAGGGCAAAATGGTCGGACAGGGTAGCATAATGGTCAATGCATTTGCCCGGATAGCAAAGGGTGCGGGTTGGTGTCTCGTCTGCTGCCTGGTCCGCGTGGAATTTTTTCTAGTAATATTAGATAGATTATTGCTGTTAACGGGATTGTTACATGTACCTTGTTTTTTATGAGTCTCCTATATTACGGCACTGTTGCAAGAGCCATGACCGCGAAGTAACTAGTTAATAGTTTAAATGCTAGGTGTATAAATCTATATTAATAAATATTTCCAACATTCACACCAATTAGCTTAGCCCCAAAGTAAGCACTGTAGGCTTGTGTTATGGGATTCTGGGTTAACGGATAGAATACATTTATAAGTATATTTATACAAAAAAATGTATTAAACATCCATGACTGGAGTACAAATGCTCGTTTTCATCACACAAACATCTGCCTCCACCGGGATTCGAACCAGGGACCTCTCGAGTAGGCGACACCATGAAACCCAGCGTACACACCACTCGAACACGGAGGTCGTCATAAAGAAAATAATACTAGAAAAATCCAATCGGTCCAGGTTTTAGACGGAATTCGAACCCGTATCCGCTATTCCGCCCGGATATTTTCTTAAGATATAAAAACCGAATTCATTTCTTTAAAAATAAAAATAGCAAGCAGTTGTAATCATCATCAGCCTATTAATGTCCCCACTGCTGGGGCACAGGCCTTCCCTATGGATGGAATAGGGAGTTTAGGCCATGACCCACCACGCGGCCTTGTGCGGATTGGCGGGTGCTAACGACTGCAGATGCAGCCGGGAACAACGGCTTAACATGCCTTCCGAAGCACGGAGAAGCTCGAGATAGTAAATTTTTGGTCACCCATCCAATGACAGACCACTGAGAAAGTTGCTTAATTTCACGAACGCGCTAACCACTTGCAACATCGAGCTCCTTAGCAGTTGTAAATTCACATCTATTTAGTATCAACGCTTTGTAAAATCGCTTTGAGAACATCGATTTAAGCATAGAGCTACAAAGAGATCTAATATAGATTCTCCGAAGCAGTCAGTCAAGCGAAAAACAGTTGCCATCAAGTGGAAGAGCAAAGAATCACACGCGAACTTCCGTCGCTAGGAACATGCCCGAATGATATCGCGTTTATTTTTTCTGGTTCGGCTCATCGCATTGTTGCTGTGAGCTGTGATAGCCGAGTGTGAAGAGAATTGTGAGTTGTTTACGCTGTAGGTATATACTATCAACTGTCAATCTTCTTAAAGTTCATATATAAAACGGAAACGGGTTTTTGAAGTGAAACTTCTTTATCGGCGTTGGAAAAAAATTTACCGTCACATTTTTCGGTTACGCGTCACATTTTTCCGTTACGCGCCATCTTTTTTTATATTAATAGTTGATAGCTGAATGATCACACTGTCGCCGGCGAGAATTCTCTCTACTCGTTTGTAGCTGAGTGACAATTGTTATTAAAGATAAGACTCGCTCAGCCAAACTCGCATAGCGATACTCGCTCAGCGATACTCGCTCAGCTATACTCGCTCGGTTAAGCTGGCTTGGCTGTCAAAAGCCGTGCGCGTGCATTTTAACTCAGGACTGCCAATTCGTTTCTAGTTTCTACTCGCTTATCGTTCATCGTCGGAGGTGGAACATGTGCCTTAGATTACTGAGCCGTGTAATCATAACAATTTCATAGGCAGTAATTTGTATTCATGTCTATGATAATAAAATCCTTTTGTTTAAACTTTATCTAATTTAACTTTATTTAACCAATTTCTGGAAAGTTGCATGTAGATCATTTTTCGAAAAATAAGGCCATAAAGAAGTTTCACTTCTTACGTGTGTACACTAGTACACGCACACATTTTTTAACACGCTTTTATTAATCTAAAGAAAATATAACTAGAAAAATTTCCACGCGGACCAGGCAGCAGACGGGACTCGAACCCGCACCCTTCTCAGTCCGGGCGAATGCACTGACCAATTATGCTACCGCAGCCCTGACGGCCGCGTCGAAATTCTTCTAGCCATTCTTAAGCTGCAAGGCAGCGCCATTTCTTCGCATTGTAGGTAACCCACAATATCAAATGAATACTTTTACAAGTATTAAACATTTGAAAGAAGACATAGCAATTATAGTTATAATTTTATTTTTTTAAGCAAGTAACTGCTTGATGTTTAAATCTAAAGAAAATATAACTAGAAAAAATTAAGAATAGCTAGAAGAATGGCGGGTTGGAGTCCCGTGTGCTGCCTGGTCCGCGTGGAAATTTTCCTAGTTATATTTTCTTTAGATTTAAGCATCAAGCAGTTACATGCTTAAAAAATTAAAATTATAACGTTTTTATTAGTTTCACCTGTATGTTTGTTTGTATGTATGTAACTGATTCGTTTAGACGCAATTTTTCCCAACTTTAAGCGATCAGATTCAATTTAAACGTTGTAGACTTATCCACGATCGAAGACAATACAATATTTTTTTCTATTTGGTTTCGCTAAAACTAGAGAACGAAATTACTGACTTGTTCTATCTTTTTTCAAAGTTCTCCAATAGGTACTTCACAGAAGCTTCTTACAGGAAGGTGAGAAGAAATGTTGAAAGTTTATTAACTTGACCTACAACTCTGCAGTTGGGCTTTAGGCTTTTTAGGGTTCCGCTACCAAAGGGTAAAAAGGAAAACCTATTACTAAGGCTCCACTGCACTGATTGTCTCTGAATCTGTCTGTCTGTGAGCTGTAAGTATCTCATAGGGGTGTCCACTCTGAAAAAACATCGATGTTTTTTTTTTATTCGAAACAGCGCAACTATACATCGATGTCGTTAGATGTATCGGATGAAAACATCGATTATTTAAACATCAATGTTTTTTTAATCATCGAGTACCTACTTTTTCTAAAATTTTATTACAAAACTCAACTGGAAAGTGACCCATCTCAAAAGAGGCTATCTTTTTAAAGTATTTTTTTTTACAATTGAAGTTTATGAAAAGAGCTAAATCCATTATTTTATTATAGTTTAGATATTCATCTTTCATAAAATAATAAAATTAACTCCTTTCATAATGATTAGGTAAAAGTAAATACAAGCAAAAGCCATGTATCAGGAAAATCTGTATTATATTTTACAAACGACCAAATTTAGGACACTAAATAACCCGCAACTTTTTTGCTAAGTCTGTCAAAAGAATATAAGAAATATACTTTAATCTTATTTTGTTTCACAAAATCAAATGTAATTAAATTTTTACAAACATAGAAACTCGCTCGCCAGCCGATATGAGAAAAGTAGTTATTTTTTATTGTCACTGCACTGACTCTTGCGCAGTGCTGCCAACATCGGGTCCATTTTAGAGAATTCGGAATAATTATGCGATCGTAATAGTAACAAGTAAAATTTTAGTGGTCAAACTTAAGTTATTTTTAATGAGGTCAAACCGAAGAGGATATAATCACTACGTGGTCAAACTCTATTACCGATTCGATGTTTTTTTTTAAATATCGATGCATCGAGTATTTTGAAAACTTTTCAAAACATCGGATCGATTCGATGTTTTTCATGGCAAACATCGGATCGATTCGATATTTATCATTGCAAACATCGATGTATATCGAATATCCCTAGTATCTCATGAACCGTGGTATATACTTTAAAATTTTCACAGATGATTAATTTTCTGTTGCCGCATTACAATACACATAAGTATTAGGGTTGTATATATATATACAATATATATATATATGTAATATAGAATATTTATACAATATTTCGCAAACGGATCCCTAAATCTAAAACTAGTCTTAGGAACCCCTTAGTAATTTTAAGGGACCTATTCAAATATATCTCGCACGATGGGACAGATGATGAAAAAAGAGACATTCCCAGATTACATATAGGAGAGCTACCATAAAAAAATATTTTTAAATATTTTATTCTACCATTTTGTCGGCGTGATCGATATACATATCTCCACAAAAGTACAGCTCTCTAGAGCTAATTCTATCTAATCTCTAGAGACTATTAAGTCGCCAAGCACAACTGGGGACGGAGAGACGGACATGATGAAACTATAAGGGTTTACGGAACCCTAAAAAGCCAAACATAGAGGCATAATATAACTACTTATTATTCTATGGGTAATATTCCTGTGACATATGTTTAACTAGCGGCCCGCTCTCGCTTCGCTTCGGTGTAGAGCTGAAGTGTAGACTACAGCCCCTCTAGCATGACCACCGAAACGGGATATGATAAAGCGATATATCGGCATTAACTGTCAGACTACTATGGAGTATGACAGTAGTCCGACAGTTAATGTCGATATATCGCTTTATCATATCCCGTTTCGGTGGTCATGCTAGAGGGGCAGTTTTTGTTCTCAGGCATGTATTATACACAATGACATTCATCTGTGATTCTTCTTATACCTGCATGCAAAATCTCAGCCCGATCGGTTTAAAATTGATAAAGTTTCATACAATCTTTCATTCCCTATTTTATCCCCTTGGGGGTAGAATTGATCAAAATCCTTACTTATGCCTACGTCATAACATCTACCTGCATGCCAAATTTCAGCTCCAGTGGTTTGGGCCTTTGAGTTTTATATTATATAGATTTTCGAGAAGGAAACGGTAGAGTAGCCAAACCTCGAATGTTGCAATTTTTTCAGCGTTAACTGCTGTTGTCCCCTTCATACGGTATTTGCCAATACGTGACAGCAATAGTTTTTCCAAATACCTATTTCCCAAATGAGGAGCTCAGGAGCGCAGGTGGTTAGCGCGTTCGGCTGCGATCGTTGAAGTTAAGCAACTTTCGCAGTGGTCGGTTATTGGAAAGGTCGCCAAAAATCTTCTATCTCGAGTTCCTTCGTGCTTCGGAAGGCACGTTAAGCCGTTGGTCCCGGATGCATCTGCAGTCGTTAGCACCCGCCAATCCGCACTGGGCCCGCGTCGTGGGTCATGGCCCAATCTCCTTATTCCATCCATAGGGAAGGCCTGTGCCCCAGCAGTGGGGACATTAATAGGCTGATGATGATGATGATTTCCCAAATATCTCTCTGCTCGCGTCCGCTGTTAAAGTAAATAATTCAATTCAAATGAAATTGGTATTGTAGACCCTCTTTGTAAGGGCTAAAAATTACGTTGTTTGTGATTTGTTGACGTTTTTTGCTCGATATTGTAATAAAGTGTCTAATATTGTATAGATATTTAATATTCTACGGAACCCCTTGTGCGCGAGTCTGACCCGCTGTTGGCCGGATTTATTTTTATTTTTTATAGATAGGTCCGACACATGATTCCACCCCGCCTGATGTTAAGTGATGGTGAAGTCCAGACGTGAAGATAGCTGATTTATATTCTTATTCGACAGGAAAACCTTTGTTTCAGCTGCTAATAACAAATGACATATTGAATAGTATTCTGTTTAATTCAATTCAAGATTGTGGCACGGAAATGACCGATTATGAAACGAGAATTCGTGTATTTTGTTTATTGGCATTTAAATAGTGTTTCAAAAAGAACACAGTGAAGCGAAAAGGAACAAATCACTACTTAATAGGTTAAAGTTTATGAGGTTTCAATCGAATTGACATACTTTCCAGCTGATCGAACAACCTTAACCTTTTAACTATCGGTAAGTTCAATACTAATTTTATTTTCGTAAATGCTTATTTGAAGTCAACTTTTTTTTTTTATATTAACAGTTTGCAGTCACGCGATCCAAAACTGGATGCCATGAAGTTCTAACGAAAAGGCTACTGGAAGAGTTATTGAATATTTTGGCAAACACGCAAATTCCTAAACTGTTTTAGTAATAAGTTAGGGAAATACTTTCGACCCAATATTGAGCAGATTTTTAACACTGGGGATTATTATAGTTATATTATACCTATACATACTGAAAGTGGTCTCAATTGTATTATAAGCGCGTTCGCGGGGTTAGGAAACGATGATAAGTCGATTCTAATTGGGTACCTAAGATGAAAGATGTTTCTAGTTAAAAAATACAGCGTGTGTAAAGAGTACGCATGTGAGAAGTGAAACGAACTTTCAAAATAATAATTACAAAAATATATATTTACATACATAATACAAATAACAAAAAAAAACGTGCTTTCAAATTTAAAATTGCGGACTTGAAAAGGTACCCTCATTGCGCACAAAGAAGTTTCAAACTTTCATGGTCACTAACATTATAGCTATTAACGGGATTGTTACCATGTACCTTGTTTTTTATGAGTCTCCGATATATCGGCACTGTTGCAAGCGCCATGATCACGGAGTAACTGAAGTAATTGCGGGTAGATGTTATTGGCAGGCATTTTGGTCTACCCTCTGACGTCGTCTTTTACTGCGCTCGATACCCCTACCATTGGTCACATTCTCACTATTCACTCGCACTTATTCCCGACACACAATATTCACAGCATCAGATCGCGGAATGACACTTTTTTTTTAATTTTTGCGGTTTTTGCACATACGAACCACTGGCTTCCATACACTTGACAATTTAAACCCATCCCATTAAATATCGGAGACTCATAAAAAACAAGGTACATTGTAACAATCCCGTTAATAGCTATAAAGAAGTTTCACTTCGAAAATATTGAAAAGAATAAATTGTAATTTCACCTCTTCTAGAAATTTCATGAGCTACCGCCGCTTCGAAATATTGATGGATTCCGTCGTATTATAAGCAATTCGGCCATTTGTATTCCATTAGCATGGCGTCTTTGCTTTGTTTCTGTTTGGCGTGCTCAGCCGCGAGCGCGATCCGTTCCAAGCCACAATGCGAAAACATTCACCGTATCCCTTCGTTGTTTTAGGAGCTGAAGCGCCGTAAAAATCATTAACATATTTTGGCGACAGTAAAATATCTATGCATATGGAGTAAGAAATAGAAAGAACGTAATTGTGAAAGTACTGCAACCTCGGAATTTAAAATTCTCGTTTCTTTTCTCTTGGCGTAGTATTTCGACATAGTACAGTCAATCTGTAGGTTGAGTGGTGAAAAAAAAACCTAAGGGGTAAGTCTTGTTTTTTCTGTTGCCAAATGACGTCAGTAAGCCACTTTGGCGATGGGCATGTTCAACTCGTAGGCGTTTTTTGAAAAACTCAAAAAAACCGTCAAAAATTTTTTGAAACGCATTTATCTTGTTTTGTATGCATTTTAGAAACTTTTTTTTCGACCATAATTGTAAAGGGCGTTGAGTGCTACAATTTATGTCATTGTTGCAATGCAAATGCATTGAAATGTGCACTGCAAATGTGTACGTGAACTGCCCAAAACCGCTCTATTGGATTTTTCATACCTACGCAATTTATAACTTGAAAACGGTAAGTAATACAAAAAAATTGTTTATACAAAAGTTGTTGGTAATTATGTACGAAACAACTTTGCCATTTAAAGTTTTCCATTAAAATGATATTCTCACTGTGAAAAAGTGAAAAAACCCTTTTTTTGAGACATTAGCGCCACCTACAATGCGCATTTTTTGTTGTACGAGATTGTAACAATGACATAAATTGTAGTACTCAACGCCCTCTACAATTATGGTCAAAAAAAAGTTTCTAAAATGCATACAAAACAAGAAAAATGCGTTTCAAAAAATTTTGACGGTTTTTTTTGAGTTTTTCAAAAAACGCCTACGAGTTGAACAAGCCCATCGCCAAGGTGGCTTACTGACGTCATTTGGCAACAGAAAAAACAAGACTTACCCTTTAGGTTTTTTTTTCACTGAAACGATATTTTTTTCGACAGATTTACTGTACTTACATTCACAAGTGCTTTTAACAGCCTAGACTGAATAAACGATATTGATTTTTTTTTTATTTCGTTTGGTTTTATAATGAGTAAGCCATAAGAAATATTTTGACATCATCGTTACTACAAGCGATGATTTCAAGTTCTCCTCGCGATAGCTTCATGAGGAAACCAAGGTAAGAAGAGTACCAATATAACAGTGCCTTACTTAACCCTGACATTGGCAGAATCATCGTGCATAACGATGGAACCATAATACCCAAAGTGGAAGTGGAAGTGGAGTTCAAGTTTTTTTTAGTGACGTGTCTATATAAAAAAAACCTTAAACGGTAAATGGCAGGCTAACTGAAACCTGGTTAAAGGACACTGAAAGTTGTCCTCGAATTTATTTATAAAACATTTCGGCGAAACTGTACTTCCTGGGCCCAAGTGGTGAAACTTCACACTAGGTTAGGTTAGGTTAGTGTTGTGACCATAACCATAAAAGATTTTTTTTTAAAGAGACCTTTTCTACAAAAATGTTGAGTATCACCTCTCGGTCCCTGGAAATACAGGTTTACCACCATTTTCTATAGATTAAAAAATCAAGCGGTTTATTTTTTACAATAAAAATATACTTATCAGTCCTGATGAGACGATTTGTAACAGCACAATACAACAGAACAGAACAACAAAACAGTTTTTATATTTTTTATTTTAGTACTAAACTGCTTAATGGGTCGAATGATTTTTTTTTCTAGTTTTTATTTTATTTTTTATTTTTTTATTTATTTATTTATTTATTGAATTTCACATTACTATAAATAATAACAATACATTTAGCCAGTGCTACAAAACTTTCTACGAGTTGTCGGCGGTCGCCCCGAACAAAGCAATGACTTTATTCACACGGGCGGGTTCCCCATCAGATTTTACTAAATACTGTTACTCTTTTGAAAGAGTTTTCTGAATAACACTTACCAAATATAGCCATTGGCCTTGTCCTCTGGTCTTCCGCCAAAAAGGTAGAAACCACGCACGTGTAGTTCCCAGTGAGATCTGGACTCAATGACATTATGTGCAGCGCCCGATGCTGGGTGTACGGATTATGTGACACTTTGTAGTTGAGATCAAGCTGGAAGACAAAAAAAATATTATTGTCCGTCTAAATGATTTAAATATCAATGAAAGATGAACTATTTGCTATTTCACTTTTGGTAAAAACATTTTTACAAGTACAATTTTGGGCTAAACTGTACTTCCAGGGCCTAAGTGGTGATACTTTACACTAGGTTAGGTTAGGTTAGTGTTGTGACCATAACGTGGAAGCGGCCGGCGAAGAGCCAAAAAAAATTTTGTTAAAAGAAAGCTTTTCTCCAAAAAAGTTCTTGTATCACCTCTTGGGCCCTGGAAGTACAGTTTTACCCAATTCTGATATGAAATAATTATATTCAAGCGACATAAACTGACAGATATCTGCACGAGGAAAACCCAAAAAATCAGAACAATCAGATAACGCAAACCGACACAGCCCCCGCCCACAACAACCCACTAAAATGCTTCCAATAACCCATCAATGTGGCATATGAATTACAACACAATTTATGAATGGAAACAGATCAACGGATTCCCGCAGACGAGATACGGAGACGATCTATACCACTAACGTACTACATATATGTATGTTATATATATATACACACACACTATGCATATATTATAAACAACAATTCGCTCACTTTCCCTTTGAATTTGTTAAGTGATTCATTGAAAATATCTGCTTCGTTCAAGCAATTATTATAAAAATTACATTAAATAACCCATTATTTCGATTATTTCCATTACTTTTATTCAGTTTTATAGTCCATCGATATCAACATAATTTTATGCTATAGAAAACAAAAAAAAAACATAAATGAAAAACGCATTGACATTGTTGTTTGAGTACCCTGTTTTAGTACATTTTATTTATAATGCACTAAAACAGGGTACTCTATATAAACGAACTTACCCTAAGTGAAGTTCTATCATAATTATACGAAACGCTTCGTTCGAAGAGTTTAGTAAGTCCCACCCACCCGAACAAAGGTTTAAAATACCGGTACTAATCTCTCCTTTATTTAACTACCTATCTAGACATATCAATAAAAAACGTATGTACTGTCTCCAAACTAAATAATGGAGCCGAACAAAGGCGTAGACATGCAAGGTTTGTGATACCCTCACAAAAAGAAGAAAAAACTACAAACAGGCAAAGGAAATCTCAATATAGTGCCGGAGCCGTGGCATCTGTGCGATAGTCTGTGCGGAAAGAGAATGGGCGTGGCGAAAAACGGAACTAACATTAAGATTTTTAATTTGGCAATCAAACCCATCAATCTGTAAAACGTCAAAGTTTTGTATTGATACGGATTTGTTTGTTGTTGTGATTTCTTGCGATTTTTTGTATTTAATCATGTCTAAAAGGGGTAAAACTTTACAAATACGGTAGAAAAGCACTACATAGCCCTCCAATCTAAATCCCATTCTCTTTCCGCACAGACTCTACTACCATGTGTAAAATAATAAAATAATTACTAATCTCGAGAAACAAGGCGCGAAATATAATTCTGATGATCTTTGACTTTTATTTTAGCTAAATAAATAAGTAATGCATACAAATCACATATTACATTACTATTTATTACAATGTCTAAATCATCAGTATCATCTATATTAATATTACCTTATTTTTTAACCGACCCAAGGCTTGGGGTTTCTGTGGCGGTATCCACTGGTACACGGGCTGAGATTTGTCCATGAAAAACCATTTGACCACCAGACCTGTCACATTGTCCGTCACGTAGTCACAGTCTAAAGTGACCGAGTCTTTAGTACCGTACTGTATCACTTCTGGTACCCGCATGTTGATTATCCGAACGGATTGGACAACTGGAAGAAAAAAAGGAAATTTTAAAATTCTAAAAATTGCCCTTGCTTGCTTAAACTTTTATGAAATCGAACTATCAGCTGGTAAAGAAGAGTGACTTTTAATGGCAATAATAATACAATAAATATTGTTCTGTGTGCATTAGTTTTGGAGCAAAAAAAAGTAAGAAGGCCTCGGCTGTTTCAAAGCGACCGACGACCTCAGTGGCCGAGTGGTTCGTACGCCGGGTTTCATGGTGCCGCCGACTCGAGAGGTCCCGGGTTCGACTCCCGATGGAGACAGATGTTTGTGTGATGAATACTGACATTTGAACGCCAGTCATGGATATTTAATATGTATTTCCATATAAATATATTTATTTATTTATTTAATCTTTATTGCCTTTACACTGCAAATGGCGGACAATGTACAATATATGTATTCTATCCCTTAACACAAGCCCTACCCTAGTATCCCATAACACAAGCCCTACAGTGCTAACTTTTGGGGCTAATTGAGGGTGAGGATGGCTGGTGTGGCAGGTAGAACTGCTGTATCATCTACCTTCACGCCTGGACTTCGCCTTCACTTAACATCAGGTGGGGTGGAGTCATTTGCCGGAATTATCTATAAAAAAAAATGGTGTGAGTGTTCGAAATACTTATTTACACACATCAAAAGTGTCTAGGGATCAACATATATTTTTGCAATAACTTTTCTCCTGATTGATATTAATTAAAATTTTCTTTAAGGATTCATCAAATAAAGTGTTTTCGTTTGTCACAGTAACGATAAACCAAGTCACCTTTGCATTAATAAAGAAATTTGCCATTTTCCTAATAAAGGGATTTTTGACATTTGAACCACTAACACAAAAGTTCGAAAAAAAGACTGAAATAACAGTTTTCTCTAAAATTTTATTGGGTAACTTAAACAATTAATAATCCGTATTTCTACCGCGAACACTAACAACACAAGAACATCGGTTTGGCATACTCAAAATGAGTTCATCCAAATCACGCTGTGGAATGGCCGCCCATGTTCGTTGCAACAACAAAAAAAGGTCTTCTTGCGACTGGATACCCTCCATATTCGGCAGAGCTCTTCTCTGTAGCATATCCCATGCATGCTCAATCGGGTTCAAGTCTGGCGACTGAGCAGGCCAGGGCAGGACATTGATGTTAGCTGCGGCGAGAGTCTGTCTTACAACTCTTGCGGTGTGCGGTCGTGCATTATCATGCATTAACTGAAATAAGGGACCGATTTGCACTTGTAGAGGAACGATGACGTCTGATACAATCGTCTCAGCATAAATTTGAGCGTTGAGGTTGCCTCTGATCCAAATCAACTCAGTTCTTCCGCCGATCCAAATACCCGCCCATACCATGATGGTTCCACCACTATAAGGATGGACTTCCTGGCAGGATTTTAATCGCTGTTGGCGTCCAGGGGTTCTCCAGTGTCGTATACGTCTTGTATCCGGTCTCATACCAAAACGAGACTCATCAGAAAAGCACACAAAACGCCATTGTTCTTCTGCCCAATTTCTGTGTTCAAGAGCCCATTGATATCGAATCCTACGATTGTGCATTGCTATAGGTGGTACCCGTAGCGGTCTTCGGGAATGAAGGTTCACTTCATGCAAGCGGTTTCTGACTGTTTGGTCGCTAATTAAGTTCCCTGAAGAGTGATGAAGCCTCACGGCTAACATCATGGCGGTTATTGTTGGAGCTCTTCGAGTTAAGATTTGAATGTATCGGTCTTGTCTCCGTGTGGTGCAGCGATACCGTCCTCCATGGCGCTCAGCCACGGTACCAGTGCTTCGGTATCGTGTCCAAAGTCGACTGATAACACTCTGACTTGTATTCAGAGCTAAAGCCACAGTACGTTGCCGGGAACCAGCTTCTATCATTCCCACGGCTCTGAGCATTTCTTCCCTGCTTAAATGACGTCGCCGCTCCATAATAACGTTGGTTTTAATCAGTAGTAGGGAAACAGTAGCACTAATAATGTCTTCAATGCGTTGTATGTTTTTATAGGGAAAATATTGACAGCTGATTTTCATCTTTTACTCGAATTTGATTCACAGTTCCTGATTCAAATTATGAAATGCACCAAAAAGGATCCATATAAATTTATAAAATCATAAATTTATTACAAAGCCACATCTCAATCTCAAGAAATCCGCATAAAAATGCTTGATCCCTAGACACTTTTGATGTGTGTATTTATAAAAAAAATAATTTCTAGTATAATAGATATCCTTTAAATGCTCTTTCTTCAAGGATTATGGCTAGAAGCTTTGCCATGGAAGCCAGTTATCAAGTCACAGATGTATGAGTAAACAAATTCTTTGGGTGATGTAAGGCCCAAAAACTAGCCGGAATATATGAAAAAGTTGTTACAGTAAGTTAATCGAATCATGTGTGGTTTGTAGATAGCCAATCACAAGCAATTCACAGTGGGTAATTAGTTTTAGAAATGTTTGGTAAACGTTTTTTCAGAATTTGGGCCTTTCATTTGCCGTATCTTTTAATGCTGCTCGGTTAATAACAAAAAAAAACTGTTCCGTTTACAAATCGAAATTCTAACAAGCCTCAATTTAACTTCTCTCATATTCGTCCGCGGTCGTTATCGTCATGTTTATTAATCCTCCGATAAAATATCCCGAAACCAATTTATCATGTCCGCCCTGAACCGTAATACTTCGAACGGAACATTATATTATTCGACAATGTCCCCAAAGGTTGGATTCTGGTTCGGAGGGATGAAAAAAAAATTAAAACATTCCTCGAATGTACGCAAAATCAATAATAACGGTCGGCCCTCGCATTAGCTGAGCCTTCGCGGTCCACTGGTCAGGGGACATATTCTCTATGCACGATTCCCAAATTGAACTCAGAAATTTCAGCTTTTTAATTTCAAAGACTTACAGCCAAATTTAGTAAGCCGTGCCTGACTTCTTTTAAAGTCTACTAAAGATCTCGAAGTACTAAATGTTCTATAGAGGGTCGTTATTTCCAAATTAAACCCAAAAATTTGAGCTTTTAAACTTCAAAGACTCACAGCCAAATTTAGTAAATGTAAGCCGTACCTGACTTCTTCTAAAGTCTACTAAAGATCTCGAAGTACTAAATGTTCTATGTAAGGTCGTTATTTCCAAATTAAACCCAAAAATTTGAGCTTTTAAACTTCAAAGACTCACAGCCAAATTTAGTAAATGTAAGCCGTACCTGACTTCTTCTAAAGTCTACTAAAGATCTCGAAGTACTAAATGTTCTATGTAAGGTCGTTATTTCCAAATTAAACCCAAAATTTGAGCTTTTAAACTTCAAAGACTCACAGCCAAATTTAGTAAATGTAAGCTGTACCTGACTTCTTTTAAAGTCTATTAAAGATCTCGAAGTACTAAATGTTCTATAGTGGGTCGTTATTTCCAAATTAAACCCAAAAATTTGAGCTTTTAAACTTCAAAGACTCACAGCCAAATTTAGTAAATGTAAGCCGTACTTGACTTCTTTTAAAGTCTACTAAAGGTCATCATCAGCCTATTAATGTCCCCACTGCTGGGGCACAGGCCTTCCCTATGGATGGAATAGAGAGATTGGGCCATGACCCACCACGCGGGCCCAGTGCGGATTGGTGGGTGCTAACGACTGCAGATGCAGCCGGCACCAACGGCTTAACGTGCTTTCCGAAGCACGGAGGAGCTCGAGATAGGAAATTTTTGGTCACCCATCCAATAACCGGCCACCGCGAAAGTTGCTTAACTTCAACGATCGCAGCCGAACGCGCTAACCACTTACGCCATCGAGTTCCTCAAAGTACTAAATGTTCTACTAAAGATCTCAAAGTACTAAATGTTCTATAGAAGGTCGTTATCTACAAATTAAACCCAGAAATTTGAACTTTTAAATGTCAAAGACTTACAGTCAAATTTGGTAAACGTAAGCCGAACCTGACTTCTTTTAAGCCTATTAAAGATCTCAAAGTACTTAATATGTGTAAACAACGACCTTCTATAGCACATATTAAGTGTTTAATAGATATCTGACATTTACATTCAATTTTTTTCAAAATGTACGTATGATTGTCACGTAACCCGTAACTTTAAAGCTCATACGTTATGTTCTACACTTCCTAAAACTGCGGCGCTTTTTATAATTAATCTTTGGTACTGCATTCCAGTTTCGCTCAATGTATTAAAATTTGCAGATACAAGTAAAATAAGAAGCTCCAAATTACACTGCTACGTTAACAATCCTGTCATCCTAATCTCATCCACAGCATCAGATGGATTCCAATGACATCGCCAATTTCACAGACAAAATTAACATGATTTTATTTATTTTTAAGCATTTAACTGCTAGATGTTTAAATCTAAAGAAAAGTTTACTAGAAAAAAAAAATCCACGCGGACCAGGCAGCGGACGGGACTCGAACCCGCATCCTTCGCAATCTGGGCGAATGCACTGACCATTATGTTACCACGGCCCTCTTAGCCGCGTCGAAATTTTCCTTGCCTTAGGCTGCAAGGCAGCGCCATCTCTTCGCATTGTAGACAACCCACAATGTCAAATGAATACTTTTTCAAGTATTAAACATTTGAAAGAAGAAATAGCAATTATAGTTATGTTTTTTTTTTCTAGTAAACTTTTCTTCAAAATATAACATGTTAAATAATTCCAGATACATACAATCCCGTTAAAATAAATACAGAGTAGGACCCCATAGGCTCGTTTTGTGAACGTTGCACGAATTGTTTCTATGGGTCAGGCTTCGCCAACGATTATGGCCCTAAGCTAGACAATTTAGGGTCGGCGTACCCGGTTTGGGGTAATTGGGCAAGAATCTAAACTCGTAAGCCAAATCAAATTATAATGGTTAAATACATGAAAATTATGAATTTTGCGCTCGTTGTGCACCCGAAATTTATCAGTTACAATAACAAATAACATTTACTTACGAGTACTTGAGCTGAATACTTTTTAGTGCTTCTTTTAAAAACCTATAAAAAGCTTAT